AATCATCCAGACTGTGGGAAAACCTCAGCAAATAGTGTTGTAAACAGTCCTTTTTTAATAACTCTGCAGACTTACAGGTATGGTAAGAAACTAGAGAATAAAATCTAGAGTTGGCATTTGTACCAAAAATATGTTTATTGCTCATTTCCTTGGCTAAATCTACTAGTCTCAAGAACAGAAGAGATTGTGAAGATTATGTGTTCACTGCTGCATTACTGAGGGTCATTACTATAAGCTTGTGGCCATCACTAGTGAAGATGTGTTCATAAATTAATTGCTGCCTTATTAAGTCAATAAGCATGAGGCTTCTCTCGTTTGCAATGAAGAGTTTTTACTGCAATGTAAATTGATGACTTCGTAAAATAGAAATGACTGTCTTTAGGAAATACAAGACAGCAGAATCAGCATCTGTGTGTGTTTCATGAGAGGACTGGAGGTCTTAGTCTTGCTTGTAAACAGCCCTGTAAATGAAACTAACGGCTTCCTCAGTCATCTAGCCAAAACCACAAGTACCATACAAGTCTGTGTTGGATTTCGAGATGATTTCTCCGCTCAGCAACAAACAGACTCTTCACACAGCTGGGAGGTCTGAAACTCTCAGGATGTCATTCCCCTCCCAGAGTCAGTTGGTCCACCAGCCTGTCCAATAGTTTTATTTGAGGCATATTTGTTAAACATATATTCTGACAAAACTGATTTTCTGGAACAATCAGGGCATTGACAGATCTTGCATTTTACTCCTCAAAGACGTTTCCTCAAATAGTGTCCTGCAACCACTCACATGACCTCCTGGTAGGGGAAACGTTTACATTGTCTATACATTACCTTGTCTGCTTTGATGATGTTTTCTACCATTGATTCTATACAAACTGATGCCAAGGCTTAAGTGCCTTTAACCTGCATTCTTTCTGACAGACAGCAGCGGCCAACTCCACTGGAAGCAAAGAAGTCTGGTTCCATTAGAAATAACAAATAACCCTACTTCGCATTTGATTTATTACCCCAGTAAACACTTTCCTAATGAGTTTATGATCTTAGTTGATCGTTAGTTTCAAGTCTTCAACACAGCATGATGTTCATTTAGAGGAAATAGAAGATAACCCAGGTCCCAGACTTGTGGATCTCTGCCCACATAACTCTTTTTTTCCCCAACAGCTCACATTTAGTTTTTCTAGAAAGAAATGCAGAACAAATCAAGAAGCAACAAAGAACCATCTGGAAAAATTAACAGTGCTAATTCAGAGTATTGACAACAGTGGATAAAATTAGAAAGAGAATCAAAAGATCAAGAGTTTTTGGTAGCTGAACCTGTTCATATCTAACCTGAGGAGATAGTGATGTACTGATGTAGAGTCTGTGGGCAGAGGGATGTGCGATATGTGAGGGGTCCTGAGCTCCTCAGCTCTCTGTGTTGCTGTTATGACACCACGGGGAGCTTCATTGCAGATTGTTTTGACTGGTGGTTTCCAATGCAGACTTTAGTTCAGAGGAGAGGAATGGCCAGAGCTTTAATGATTCCACCAGTCAGAGTTTTCTTGTGTTTTTAAATGGCTGCAAAGATAATCCCTCTGACTATGACGCTTTATTAGAAGTAACTTAAAAACTAACAAGAACTACTATCTTTGCTACAATCCAAAGTTTATGAAAAATAACTCCGATCATCTGAGGTTTGAAACCCCAAAAATAGGATTCCCACATAGTAAACATTTTGGAGCTGTTTTTTTTTTTTTTACATGAACTGATGTCTACAAGTTTAAAGCACTGCATTTTTCCACTTCATTTAGACCCCCTTAGCTGAGGCAATCAGTGAGTTTGGAAGTAGTCTTGGAAAAAATTATATTAGCTATCTGCTGTTAATGACAATGGGCGCCTCAATGGCGTGCAGTTAATGAAATAAAAGCACCTCAGTGGTTCATACTGCTGAGAAGCACCAGAGAGGCTATCAAGTGTTCACATGCACCATCTGGCTCTACGGTGCCTCCTCTTGCCAGCTGGAAATTCCTGAAAACCTTCATCTGTGTCTTCTCAATTGGTTGGGAGACAGCGGTGAGCGTTCACTGATACAGATTACATACCACATTTTAAATGTGTTTTTGTTTAAAATACAGGTATTGTTACTGCTAACACATCTGTGCTTCATATTTGATCACTGGGTTTCATGGCTCTGAAGATGAGGAATGCAGCAGAGGGCTGGTTTAAGTGCAAGGGTGACTGATTTACAGGACTAACAGAGTGCAGTAAGGAAATGAAAATAGAGGTTGTGGTGAAATGTAGTGCAAATATATCATTAATAATGCAGCAGCCGGTTAGCTTAGCTTAGCATGAAGACTGGAAACAGAGAAAACAGCTAACCTGGCTCCGTCCAATAGTAAAAGAAAATGCCTGCCAGCTCAAAGCTCACTGATTAACATGTTATGTCTTGTTTGTTTAGCCAAGTATAAAAACAAGTTCTGGTTTTATGGGGGGGGGGGGCTATGTTACTATTTCTTGGCCAGCCAAAGCCAAGCTAGCAGTTTCCCCCTAAGCTAGCTAAACTGACCGTCTCCTGGCTCCATATTTAAAGGACAGATATGGGAGTGGTATCGATCTTCTCATTTAACGGTCAACAAAAAAGCAAATAAGCATTTTCCCAAAATGTCAAGCTATTCATTTAAGAAAGAGTGATGAAGCAGATGGGCCGCTTGTCTTGTGTTTACAGCCTTTCAGCAGCAACATGGAACCAGTCAACTTTCCATCATGACTTAATAAGTACCCAGTAGACTGTCGGCTCGTCATCATTGGAACAAGCTTACACAGACTTTTATGGTTAATACTCATCCCTCAAAGGAACACTGTGTGAGTGACTTCTGCCTCTGGTCCAGACATAGCACAAGTCTGATCAGACTTGGAAAACTTGGCTGTCACCTGGAAAATATGGCTTTTAGTAATGGTACATTCAACACACACCTACCTTGAGTAATTAGTTCATAGCCTTTAACAACAGAAAAGGTAAACTTTAGGAAACAAACAAAACTTTTGTTATGAATTGGTGCTATGTAAATAAAATTGAATTGAACTCAATCGTGGGAAAACGGCATTGCAATTATGAGATCTTTACCTTTGCCTAAAGAAGTATTGTCATTATGAGAAAAACAACACATAGTTATAACTTCCATTTACGTAAACAGGACCACGATGACTCAAATTTACTGGTACCTCCTTCTTGGTCTGCGGCTTTTATAAGAAATGTAGATGGTATTATTATTAGTATGTCAGCATTTTGCAGGCATTTTATTATTCACCGTAGATAACAGCACACTCTCATCCACCTGAGGTTGCTCCAGTAGGTGCAAAACATTAGACACTAAGTAATTGTTATTAGATGCTGAGTAAATGAGGACATATGGAAGTCATAATTATGATATGAAAATCATAATGATATTCTTTCAGTTTCTGTTTATCTTTAAGGTTTTCGACTCAAACTCCCACACACATTAACACTGAATGCTGTGGGTGACAGAACTAAGTAAAAAGGGAATGGGTTTCTGTTTGCAGAACTCTTTATCACTATTTCTTTTGTCGCTGAGAGCTGTGTGTCTCTATACAGTATGACAGTCTGTTGGACGCTTCCTCCAGCAGAATAAACTGTGAGATGACATCATGACAAAACGCAGGCTTGAAAATCAGAGTGCTGAGATGTTATTCACAATGGAAGTCAAAGAAAGTACAAAGCATTTAATGCACTATTAAAGGCCAAATGTCAAGGTAACAAAAGACAGTGAACACTGAAATCTCCACAAACTCTGTGCCTACTGTATTTGGCCCTTCCATTATCTGTATTTATATTCACATGTACATAATGGCTACTTCTCACTCTGTGCACATTAGATACTCACTTGTTTATACTATACATAATGTAGCTACATGCTGTTCAAGTATGTGTGCTGTGATATGTATATTTGCACTTTACAACCCTTCTTACTATATATATATTTTTTTTTTTTAAATACAGCTATATGCACTTTACTACTGTTTTGTGGTTAGATGCTGAACTGCATTCTAGTGGCACTTACGGTGTAACAATAAAATCTTGTTGGTATTGTTTATAAAAACAAACAAGCAAAAAACAAAGAAGAAGAAGTTTTATACCCCAGACGATCTCCCCGTCAGTTATATATATTTACAAAATGATGTGATTAATATAGTTAAATTTGACATAATAACATACACATACCTTTTTTGTGCATGTAATAGGTTTGCAGAGGGAGTTCCCATCTCCCACAGAAAACACTGCTGTGAACTGCTTGAAAACAGCTCGTTTGTAGTCCAGCCGCTTCCCTTTCATCCCTGTGATGTCACAGGGCTACTCCGACACGCCCTCAAAAACACCGGTGGAAAAACACTGAGCTGCAGCACACCTCTCCTCTCCCTTCCAAACACTAGCTACCCTCCAGGCAGTCAATGGACATAAAGTAGTTACTGTGATGTAGAAACAGAGCTCAGTTAAAACTTAATGGATGAAAAATACTTTTGTTACAGATTAATAACTCACCATTACTGAAACTCTTGCTCCAGTCCATGTTGCCAAGCTGGTCGGCAACATGTAGCCTACAGCTGAATCAAAGCTGTTTACGGGCTTCTCGCTGACCTGCCCTTCTGTGCTTCTGATTGGCTATTACCGGCTTCTCGCTGACCTGCCCTTCTCTGCTTCTGATTGGCCATTACCGGCTTTTCGCTGACCTGCCCTTCTCTGCTTCTTATTGGCTAGTAGTCTTTAACTAGGAACCCAGCAAAGATCATTTAGAGACAAGATGTATCACTCCATAGCTAAAACAAAGCCTTCAACACACAGGGTGAAAAGAGGAGCTGCAGCAATGTGCAGTATGAAAAAAAAAGTAGAAGGTGTGTTTTAAAAAATTAAACCATGTAAACCTGTTCTGGTACAACCCCTAAATAGGATTTTGAACCTGAAAATGAGCCCAATAGCACCTCTTTAAAAAAAAGACACAAGTACACAATACTATACTATTGTGTTTTTATTATTATTTTGTTGCTTATGCAAACCAAATTTCACCATTATGATCATGCACCTCAGCTTTCAAATCAAAGTTTAATGTAACAATATTTTGTTTTAAGTTTAGAGCATTTGAAGATTTTCATGGATCTGACCATGTATGGACTGGTGTGGCTTTTTAACACCTTCCAGCTAACTGAGTCAAAGTCTCTCATGGGGAAGCTACTAAATATTACCATTCATACATGTTTCCCTTTGCCCTAAGACATCTCAGTTTAACCAGAGCACATTATTCTGTACAGTCAGAAATGAAAGGATTTGTAACAGTTCCTATTCGGTAATAACACACAGATGTACAACCCTGCTGAGGCAGAACTTGGAGAAGATAGAATGTGAGAGAGAAACCCATGGGAATGCACTGGTGGTATAAGAAATAAGGGCTTTTGGCATTGTGATAAAATAACACTGGTTTAGTATACAAGTTCAAGCTTTGGCAACTTTTGAAGGTCAGTTTTCCCTTCAGTGCCTGGCAGTGTGTCTACAGTGTGTCTAATCTTCTTCTCTGGTTTCTAGCTTTAAGGCAGAGTTACATGACTTCACAAATGACGAGTTGGCTAACAAAACAAAAATCATGTTGTTTTTTTCTTTGTATCACTAGATGAGGTCGGCCCGTCACATACAGTAATCCTGTTTTTGATGCATGTTCAGAAGGTGGAGTCATATGTAAATACTTTCAAGCACTCGCAGACAGAAGACCCAGTCAGGGGGCAACTGCTGGTAGGACATCTTGTTTCCATCCAGTCGTAATATCTTCATCCTGGAGTAGGACAGAGGTCCCACCTCTCTGCAGAAACTAGTCACGTTGAACCCTGTGGTGAACAGACAGAAAGCAGAGTGAATATGTCATTAGAGACTCATTATTCACTAGAGTGACAGCCATATGCATATGCTGGTTCGTCAAAATATTGTATACTAAATGTGTCCAGACAGCTACATGTACCATGTGTTCATCATATATAAATGATTGAGATGAAGCGGTTCAATCACATTATGTCTTATCAATGAGGGTCTGTGCAGTCTGCAGAAGTCCCTCTTCTTCTCATAGAGCCTGAATCTCCCATCAGATGTTTTGCAGGTGCTGTGGTGAAAACGGAGGCAGAGGAAACCACAACACCGCCCTCATTTGCTTTCTCACTTCATTTCAGCAGTAGTGCCTCCCTCTGCCCAGACTGTAGGCTTTGGCAGACAATAACTGTCTAGTAGCTGTCAGGCTGCTAGCTAGACGATGAGGTGTGTGTTATTGTGGAAGTGTTTTGCCGTCTGTCTGTCTCATTAGTACACAGCCCCTCTGTCTGCTGCGTTGCACGTCGGGAAACAAGAAGACACTTTCACTTTGCCAGAACCCGTGAGCCAAAACTGCACACCAGGTCATTGCTGCCGGATTGTTGTGTGAGTCAAATTGTGGCTCCTGGACACAAGTCTGCTGGTTTGTGATACGAATCCTATCTGTTAAAAAAAAAAGACCAGAGTGATGAGGATCAGTCAGAGAGAGACAGAGAGAGAAAGAGAGAGAGTAAAGAGGAGACCATGAAGAGGGGAACAGCATGTGCTTCTGGCTCATCTGGAAACCTCTTAATCCGTCCAGATGTTTTCATACCACTCTCCTCTGTTCTTTGCTAGCCTACTTTCCCTTCATCCAACCACCCAATACCCCCTCACCCCCCTTCCTTTCTCTGCTCTACCGTCCACTCACTTCTTCTCTTTCCACGTCTCCAAGTCCCTCCACTGCCTTTACCCTCCCTCTTCTTCCATCTCTGACTTGCCTCGCCTGCTAGCTTCCCTGTTCAGGTCTCTTTACAGTTCCTGTCACATTTTCCAGATTTCTTCTCCTTCCTCACAGTATGGTTTGGGTATTAGACCTCTCCAGGTGGTCAACCACATAACTAACTAATGTTGCTCTTTGCTGTCACAAGAAGAGAGTGTATTGTTGATCCGTAAATTGAATGCAAGTGTGCACATGTGTAAGAAATGAGCATTTCATAGACTTGTAGTCAGTGACACTGCTACATTCACAGAGGGAAAGGTGACTGCATGTTGTTTCTTCGTGTGTGCATGTTTTCTTTGTGTATGTATGCATCTCACCTTGTATTTCATTGGCCTCCAGGTAGAGGTACTGCAGGGTTGTTGGGACTGTGGGAATGGTTGTAAGTTTGTTATAAGACAGGTCCAGTTCCACCAAGCTGGAGAAGTTGAAGACCTGCGGGTGCACGCCGCGGCTCTGCAGACCACAGTGACTTAGACGAAGGTACTTAAGGTTGTGAAATCCCACAAAACTGTCCTCATCCAGCCCAGAGAGGGTGTTATTGGACAGATAGAGCTGCTGGACAGTACGGGGTAAATGCCTCGGGACAGATGAGAACAAATTCCCATTGAGGTCCAGCAGGTTCAGACTGACAAGACCTTCAAGTTGAGGGGAAGAAACGCACACACACAAAAATAAATACTGACAGATTTGTGTGACAGATGAGTGTGAACATTGTCAGTGTTAGTGCAGACAGACTCATCAGGGTGTGAGATTACCAAGATGAATTATCCTTTGTCACATCTCAGGTATTTTAAAAACTTTATGTTATCTAAACACATATAGTGCGAGTTTACCCAAACAGGCATCATGTTAGCAACAGTAGCAATCAATGACTCATCACCATGCAATGATCCGCGGAAAGCCAGTTGTATCTATGAGTTCATCACTATTTTCACTTAAGTATTAAGTACTGACTGCTGTCCACAGAGCAGACTGAGCTGTTGTTAAGCTTTACCCTGAAGAAAAGCAATTCTTCACATGTGTTTATTTGCTGAATCTTCATTTGTAGAGCTGTTTTTGGAAGTATCAAATTAAATTATGGACAGAATGCAAGATTATATGGATGCATTACATACAGGTGCTGGTCATATAATTAGAATATCATCAAAAAGTTGATTTATTTCAGCAATGCCATTCAAAAAGTGAAACTTGTATAATGTATACATTCATTCCACACAGACTGATATATTTCAAGTGTTCATTCCTTTTAATTTTGATGATTATAACTGACAACTAATGAAAACCCCAAAATCAGTATCTCAGAAAATTAGAATATTGTTAAAAGGTTCAATATTGAAGACACCTGGTGCCACACTCTAATCAGCTAATTAACTCAAAACACCTGCAAAGGCCTTTAAATGGTCTCTCAGTCTAGTTCTGTAGGCTACACAATCATGGGGAAGACTGCTGACTTGCCAGCTGTCCAAAAGACGACCATTGACACCTTGCACAAGGAGGGCAAGACACAAAAGGTCATTGCTAAAGAGGCTGGCTGTTCACAGAGCTTTGTGTCCAAGCACATTAATAGAGAGGAGAAGGGAAGCAAAAGATGTGGTAGAAAAAAGTGTACAAGTAATAGGGATAACCGCACCCTGGAGAGGATTGTGAAACAAAACCCATTCAAAAATGTCGGGGAGATTCACAAAGAGTGGACTGCAGCTGGAGTCAGTGCTTCAAGAACCACCACGCACAGACGTATGCAAGACATGGGTTTCAGCTGTCGCATTCCTTGTGTCAAGCCAGTCTTGAACAAGACATAGCGTCAGAAGCGTCTCGTCTGGGCTAAAGACAAAAAGGACTGGACTGCTGCTGACTGGTCCAAAGTTATGTTCTCTGATGAATGTAAATTTCGCATTTCCTTTGGAAATCAAGGTCCCAGAGTCTGGAGGAAGAGAGGAGAGGCACAGAATCCACGTTGCTTGAAGCCCAGTGTGAAGTTTCCACAGTCAGTGATGGTTTGGGGTGCCATGTCATCTGCTGGTGTCGGTCCACTGTGTTTTCTGAGGTCCAAGGTCAACGCAGCCGTCTACCAGGAAGTTTTAGAGCACTTCATGATTCCTGCTGGACCATCTTTATGGAGATGCAGATTTCATTTTCCAACAGGACTTGGCACCTGCACACAGTGCCAAAGCTACCAGTACCTGGTTTAAGGACCATGGTATCGCTGTTCTTAATTGGCCAGCAAACTCGCCTGACCTTAACCCTATAGAAAATCTATGGGGTATTGTGAAGAGAAAGATGCGATACGCCAGACCCAACAATGCAGAAGAGCTGAAGGCCACTATCAGAGCAACCTGGGTTCTCATAACACCTGAGCAGTGCCACAGACTGATCGACTCCATGCCACGCGGCATTGCTGCAGTAATTCAGGCAAAAGGAGCCCCAACTAAGTATTGAGTGCTGGACATGCTCATACTTTTCATGTTCATACTTTTCAGTTGGCCAACATTTCTAAAAATCCTTTTTTTGTATTGGTCTTAAGTAATATTCTAATTTTCAGAGATACTGAATTTGGGATTTTCATTAGTTGTCAGTTTTAATCATCACAATTAAATGAAATAAACATTTGAAATATATCAGTCTGTGTGTAATGAATGAATATAATATCCAAGTTTCACATTTTGAATGGAATTACTGAAATAAATGAACTTTTTGATGAAATTCTAATTATATGACCAGCACCTGTATTTGCTGAAAAACTTGAAATGAAACCACTGTTGAATTAAACAATAGCTACCTGTGTAAATTATACCCAACAACAAAGAGAAAAACATGTAAAAGTATCACCGTTTCAGGTAATGGAAATTATTTTTTTTAATGTCTGATTACAGTGTTTTGCATAATGTGAATAAAGCACAAAGCTGTGCTGTCACTTTCCTTCCCCAAATAGATTCTGCATTTATAAAGAAAGGAAATGACACATTACTCCACCTTTGAGGTCTCCTTCTTTGATGGTTTGCAGTCTGTTTCCCTGCAGCAGCAGCAGCGTCAGGTTGTGCATGTTCCTGAAAGCTCCACGGCTGATGCTGCTGATTTGGTTGTAGGCTAGTCGCAGCTGCTTGAGTCCAACTGGTAGAGCACTGGGGACTGAACTGAGGCGGTTGTGGTTGGCAAAAAAATAGCACAGCTGGGTCTGGTTCTGCAGGGCGGCCTGGTCCAGTGTGTCGGTCTGCAGCTGGTTGTGGTCCAAGATGAGCCAGCGTAGACCAGTAATGTTGGCCAGAAAAGAGAAGGATAAGTACGAGATGTTGTTGCACTAAGAACAAAAGAAAAAAATGACTTCACTTCAATTTTCACACTTGGTTAAAATAAAGCAGAAAAAACCACTATGGGTTAGTGGCAGACCATTGTAAAGACAACACACTCTCGCCGTGTCAGTGTTTTTCCTACCTGGAGAAACAGGTATTGAGTTCTGTCCGGCAGGCGGTCAGGGATGTCTGCCAGGCCTCTGTGGTCACAGTAGAGTGCCGTGGGCCACTGGATGGGGCAGTCACACTGTTGAGGGCAGGCTTGGTGGTTGTTGGCTCGGAACCACGCTGAGTCCATCCGCCCCTGTAGGCTCAGCACACTGGGCTCACCCAGCAGGCGATTAATCCACAGAGGAACACCTCCGTAGTCCATGTCAGCTATAAAAGTGGCTGAGGCAGAGTCAAAAAAACACAGCAGCACCAACACGGTACAACACAGGAATGCCATGGAGACAGCTGGTGAGATATGTAACCCTGCAAATGAAACATTAAGACAAAGGTGTTAAAGATTTTCCACATCAAAGTCAATTCATGTCATGCTGAGCATTACTGTAAGAGTTGTATAATGTCTTTTACTGAAGTGATATAACAATAAGGTATTTTGGCGTGGACATGGGAACTACACATTTTTAACAAAAAGCCTGCATGACATTCATAGGAGTCTGATTTGGGCATTTACTAGGCAGGGAGGCTAACAAGCCAAGCTATAGAAAAAATATATACCATTAATTTTTAGACATGCTAGAAGCATGGCTTTAGGGACAACATTGCTGGTAATATATCTCAAAATCTACCAAATCAATTGCCTTTAAATTTAGTACATTACTTTGCATGACATTTAGTTGACAATTTTATCCAAAGTGGGTTACAATTGAAACGTCAGAGGTCGCATGCCTCTGGAGCAACTAGGGTTCAAGTGTCTTGCTCAGGGACAAATAGGTGGATGTGTCACAGAGGGAATTGAACCTATGTCTCTCACACCAAAGGCATGTGTCTTATCCTCTGCACCACCACCACTGCCATTCTTACATAGAAATGGATAGTAATTTAGTACCAACATTCATGTCCACCTCAGGATGAACTGTAATGACTTTTGTGGCCCCTCATCTTTTTCTCCAGTGCCATCATGAGGTCAAAGTGTCAATTTGTGGCATACTGCAGTTTACAACCAAATACCTGAGAACCAGAGAACAAATTCTCTTAGCTGTCCTTTGTGTTTAATGCTAATTAGCATGTTTTCAGTCTGCAAAGCATCAACATGTCTTAGGCTACTATCATTAGCATGTGGCTCAAATCGCTGCTGTACAGCCTCCCAGAGCTGCTAGCGGGACTGTGGACTCTTGTTTAATCTGTCTCTTGCAAGTCCCCCAGTGTAACAGATGTGCAATACTTGTTGGAGTATATCTTTAAGAATTGATGCAAATAGCCTTAGGGGTAAAACTATTATACCTTAGAAGCTTTGAAAATCAAGAAAAAAAAAATCTTCAGTGTGAGGTCAAACAAGGTCACTGTCATTATGGCAACTTCTCTCTATGCTTTTTGTGTAATAAATTAGAATAAACTGAATGCGTGCGCTTTTGGCGCACACGTTGAGATGGTGCTTTTGCATACACACTTCTGTGCAATCAAACTTCTGAGTATGAGAGGAAAGAATTTTTTTTCCCTGCATGCACAGCTGTTGATGGTTAGACGGTAATTCCCACAAAGCTGGTTTGCACAAAAGCACACACACAAAGACTCTCAGTTACTGTATCATACAGCAGTTTAAAAGAAAGATTTGCATCATCAGGAAGTTTGACTTGATCAGCATGTTTGCAGTGCTGTCTTTCTCATGTACAGTACAGTCTTACAGTGGCACATGCTCAACAGGTTTGCAAGAGATTATGCAGCCTCATCAAAGCAACTGTAAAACATCGGCACGTTTAACATTTCCAGTTTTACCTGTCTTGCAGTGGCAGGAAATCAAACCAGATGAGAAACCACCAACAACAGTTATCACTTACCTGTTTGATCAGGAGCTACAGAGCGGAGACTGTTTGTCTTAAATTCCCAAAGACCCTCGGGAGCTGTGTGGAATTGTGTGTGTTAATGCGTCTGCATGTGTGTGTTTTCAAGCTACCAGCGATGTTTACCCACTGTCTGCTACATTCCTCTTCTTCAAATGCTACCCACATCCCAGACCCCAAACCTCCTCCATAACCTTCCTTCACTCATTTCTTCCTTCCCCCTTCTCTCAGCCCTCTCAGTGACGGTTGAGCCCACAACATTTGGTGGAAACATGTTTGCTTGTGCCAACAAGATCCACAAAAATACACAAAAAAACTGACAAGAACTGCTAAAGAAAGAAAGCGAAGAAGAAAGAAAGGCAACTAATCCGTTTGGATTCTGATGCTGCAGAGCTTTCAGTGATTATGAGAACATTTTGATCAGCATTCAAGATTCAGCATATGAAAATGTGTGTGTGTGTGTGTGTGTGTGTGTGAGATTGGGTCTACAGTGTGTTCTGCCTAAAGGCATTCAAGCCACAGCGTACCTGGGGAGCCAAAGAGACCATTCTGTGTGTGTATGTTTATGCGCATCGGTGTCCATGTGTGTGTGTGCATGTATTTGTGTGTGCGTGTGTGTGTGTGTGTGTCTTGAAGGAAATAACTCGTTGCAAGCATCTGAGTACAGCAGAGGGGAGAAAATTATCCCAGATTCCTTTCCTTCTAAAGTATGAGGCGAGCGCTATGAGAAAAGAGGCAAGGTGGAGAACAAGGGGGGAAAGTGGGGACTGTATTTCCTGATCAGAGAAGGGAAAGAGCACCCTCTAGGAAAAACACATGGAATGACACCCACAATTTTCATCCTAATGAACCATGAACATTTTTTTTCTTCTGTAAATGCCACTTCCACTCTTTCTGTGTGTTTGGTATAGGCTAATGCAGCAGTTTTATTTTGTGTTTTTTTACATAGAGTTCATGAATGTGACAATAAGGTGTGTGCACATCAGGTACATGTGACACCAACTACCAGAAAAGAGATTTGTGCCTGCTCATGGCTGTTGTGTCGAGAAAGAAACAAATTCTACAGCTGATAGATGCAACACCAAAAATCAGGATACTAAACACAATAATAAATTAACATTAACATTTTGATTGGATTATGGCACTAAATGAAAAGATAAGGGATCACAAGAGTTCTAACAATTCATACTGAGGGGGATTTGAACCAAATTTAGTGGCAATCCATCCAGTAGTTTATATATTTCACTCAAAACAACAAAGGTCAACCTAATAGTGGCGCAAGATGAGAATTCAGGGGTCACAGTCATTAGGATTCATCGTCCGTGCTCACTACACATATCTATATCAAATTTCATTAAATTCTGTCACACTGTGTTGCTTTCCCCCATCCCCTGCTGCTACTTACAGGTAAGATTTCTTGTCACTCTTGACAGCTGATTTCTAACTGGTTGAGTGAGTGTTTCTGGAAACATGAACGAGAGCTGGAACACAGCGTGTCAGCAGCAGCAGGTTGGCAGCTTCTCACCATCCCCCACACACTCTGCGCTCTGCTCTGTCTCCGCCTGGTACGCTCATAAACAAGTGAATAAAATGGAAAAGGCCTCCTCTGCTGGCTCTGGTCACTCCGCTTCAGAATAACACCTCTGTTTCACTGAAACATTACAACGTCACAATCTCTACACATAAATACATATATTTACCTCACTCACACAACGTGGAATTCATGTACATGGATTCTATAATCATAGAAATGTGTTTTTTATTTGCTGTCACAAGTGCTGGAAGTAAATGATTATGATTATTAATACTACTAGTAATACATTTCTTGTGCTGGGGCAGACTCCAAACTCCCAAATTTGCAGGTTAAGTGGGTATAAAAATTGAATAGATGGATAGATTCTCATTTTACTGATGACATACGGAGGAAGAGGAGGAAGACGAAAGAGCTAAATTGAATCTTAAGGGGTTGCTGTAACACAACAGTTTTTAAACTGGGCAGGACTCCTTCAGTTACCCACAAGCAACACTTGTCTGATAGTTGGACCCGTTGCAGGTAGAGGGGGATCTGTGGTCAAAGTCAGGTACAAACAGCAGCTCTATAGAGTCTCAAAGAAGACAAGCTGCCCGATCCTGGCTTTTTGCTAGGGATTCTCCGGGGTTCTCCGTGTCTGATTGAAAACGTCTCCTCCGTCTGGCAATTTGGCTGTTTTCAGGTTTCCTTCGCTGTCGCTGGCGAGACCACGTGGCTTGGTCTGACCTCGGTGAAGTTGGCTCGACGGAAAAGGCTTAAAAATGGAACTTGGTTGTTCCTGAATTAGTCCAGTGTAACTTAACGGACTGATAACTTTAACAAAACAAAAGAAATAAAGAAAGTAAAACAAACTGAAGGGCAGATCGATGTCGCGGCACTTCACGTGTGTAGCTTTAAGCGAACACAAGGCCTGTCTCGCTGGCCGACTCTTGGGCGTTGCCTGGCGAGGCACGCCGGGCACGTGCCGAAGCGTCCAGAGAGACGAGCGAAGAGCGCACGAGCAAAGTCGCGTGTCGCTCTTTTGTTGCCTGGGGCATGGTTCCCCAGGGGGCGTTTCAGGTTTCCCAAGGCACTGCCTTTCTAAACTTAAGGTCTTAAAAGAAAATAAATCTATTTGCGCGTATTATAATCAAATATTTTCCACAATCGAACCTCAATGGTCAAACGGTTGTACGGTTTGAAGTTAAGCATTTGGTAACAGGAAACAATTGTCACATTATTGGTCAGGATATTTATACATTTAACGGCATTTCCAACGATGGTATGTAATACTTATTTTGTCCACTTGGCGGAGCTGAGGTTACATGAGGACAGCTTGGATTAATGCAAGATCATCTCTCCTTAGGAACTGGGGAATATTGTTGATTCATCCTTAACTTCAAGCTGGCGATTAAGAGTATAGTAAAACATTCCTTTGTCATCATTTCTAAAGGAATTTTGTAGGAAAGTATTATGAACAAGCATTGATTACATTAGATGAAGGAGTGTCTTGCTGAAAATAAAAACACTGCAAAAGTAACTTTCTTTTCAGCACTAATATCAACAACAGATAGTAACAACATGTTAACATAACTACTCAAATAGAGGCGTAATCAAGTAACTAAAGATTTAATTAAACTTAATTAAATGCTTTGAGTCTTTGGAGACTGCAGTCCTTGGTCATCCAAAGTTCGGCTCCCTGGGTCATGTCACACTTTGGTGAGACAAGGAGTATCCCTTTGATGGGATAATAAACAAAGAGCAAGGACAGTTGCCACGGAAACATGTGTGGGGGGGCCAGTTTTGATAGGCTGTTCAGGGAAATGCTAATCGCTGGTTCGTGTCCCTTTGTCAGTTTAATAGTCAGGCCCTGTGTTATCAGCTTCGGAATCAAAAGGGTGCCAGTTTTATGGTCATGGATAGCACTTAGAGAAAGCAACTTTCACCCCCCTTTTGTTGGGGAGAGGAAAGAGGAATTTGGAGTAGCTCCAAATTTATTCAATATAAAATGCACAAATCCACACCGTTGTTCCCTCACATTAGTGATGTTATGTAAAAGGAGAGCTAATCCAAGCTGATTATGTGGTCTTAACCCATGGTTGTGCAAAACCGCATGGAAATAAAATGACAGGAAGTCAGTATCATCATGAAATCATAGAAAATAGGAGCAGATCCTCGCCCAGTGGCTGCCTGTAACAGTTACACACCACATATGATGCTACATTAATGTGACGTCAATTCTGCTGTGACAACCAGAAAAAATACATCCCAGTACAAAAGATTAGTTTATGCAACTGTTAATTGTCAATGAGTCATCATCTTTCCACAATAATTACATTTCCCAAAGCAGAAGCTGCCCTCAAGGGGTTTCCTGTTTGAGAGTTGGCACATGCAGCAGATCCACAAACCACTTGTCAGACAGTGTAAGTGCACGCCTACAGCCGATCCCTGAAAACCACAAGACCTCTTCAGATACTGTAATCTTTTGTTACTACAGATAATGTTTCAGTACGCTTGATTTCACCTGCACTGGATATATTCTAAAAGTAGGAGTCCTGCCTTTGTTTGGCTGTGTGTCTGAAGACATTCTGTGAAACAGCTGCTCATGTGAAATCAATAATTACAGAGGTCTCTTATGTCACACTTGTGTAATAAAGTGGAAATATTGTGTCTGCATGCAACAGTTAACATGTCATGTATCTTTCCAGCCAAACATATTACCTGTTAAAGTTTCCTGCAGAGTTTCTGTGTATGTAGCTGTTGTGTATGTGCTATCAATGGATCCCCTTTTGTTCGTCTCGTGCACAAGCATGAGGTCACACATGCGTGCATAGCAAGTGATGTGGTACACAGTTCTGCTAATGGTTTTGCACTATTCCACTGATCTACAGGTGGCAAAGTGCCAAGATATGTTTCAATGTGCCGACAAAGGCAGGAAAGCGGAAGACTTGATTTGAAATACCTAAAAAATGGGCTTTGCAAATGTTTTATGGGAAAGGATCATCAAGATATTTGTTAGACCTCAGGCATACACACAGTGTGTTTTGTTGAGTAACACTGAATGTAAATATAACTTTTGTTTCTTTAGAAGAAGACTGCATAGGACGCATTTAAATTCCAAAGTTCAATCCTGACCTTGGAAATAACAGTTGACTAAACAATTTCACTTTAGGTCCATTTAGCAGCTATTCTGGAGCTCATCATCAGATGGCATTAGACCAGTCAAATTCTTACTTTTTCTGAGCACTTTGTTATTATTGTTGGCCACTTGGGGTTAACTTTATTCACTTGGTGCCGAGCAGGTAGGGTACACTGGGTTTTTGGAGCTTTTGTGCTGCAGCTCGTGGGGTGCTGATGATACAGTGGATAAAACACATGCCTTTAGTGTGAGAGACCCAGGTTCAATTCCCCACTTTGACACATCCACCACTGTGTCCCTAAGCAAGATACTTAACCCCTTGTTACTCCAGAGTACATAAATAGCAAATGTAAGTTGCTTTGGATAAAAGCTTCAGCTTATAAAAACAGCTGCCTGCTGCAGCCAAAAACAACACTGATAAGAGTGGTGAGTGTGATCCATTGAGTGACGTTGTTGTTTTAGATTTTATGTGTCAAAAAAATATTGAGCCAGGGGAGGGGGGTTATAATCCGGGAAAAACATTAAGCGATGAAAGTGGTTTCACAATTCACAAAAACAAAAAAATTCTCTAAAAGTCACACATTTATGGGAAAATGTGTGTTTCTCTAAAGTACTGATGCATATAAATAATATGATGATTGTGGGCTAAAATCAAGATAATCTTCCACTGCAGGCATAATAAATAGCAGAGGTGTCTGTGTGAT